TATTAAATCTTAAAATTAATCTTTCTATATTTGCATCAATTTGAAATTCATGTATACGTGTATGCAAAAGATCATCATATTTTAAATATATACTAGACAACCTGTGACCCATTGGGTCATTATTTCAGAGATACTTCCTTAACTAAATAGAGAAGCAAAATGACCACGTATGGGCAAAAAAACCCAATAGGAGCGGGAGTGACTTCCTGTCTGCTTTCCCCATTGACATTGCTTTTGGGAAGCTGGCAAAGAGAACATCAGAAATCACTCCTCCTCCTTCCTAGCTGTCTGTCACTTTGCTGGGAATAAAAGGAACCATAGACTGTGAGGAAACCTGCAATCCAGTTCTCCATCCTGGCATGTTCCCAAGGGCCCCTGTCCACCAGGGAGAAAGAGTGTTCACCCATCAACTATTGGTGACTCCAACCACCTTTATCTTACCAGCAGACATCCAAGCTGCTCCCTTGTCCGTTCCTTATACCCACTGCCTGTCAGGCCTGGAAGCCATCTTTTGTATTGAGCCTTCAGACCTGCCACATTTACTACTGTGGGAAACTGGGAGGGGGGGCATGTGCGGACCATGGGTGATATTAGCCATAACTACATTCTTTTCTCAGAGGTTCAAGGACATCTTGCACTGCACTTGGGAGGCTGGATTTGAGAGGCATCTCCAGTTGGGATGGTGCCTTGATTGGACCATATGATGGACTTGAGGGTGTTGATCAGGGACTTAAACTCTCCTTTGGGTGGGGAAACCCTGGAAGCTTTCAGATTTGGGTTTCCCCAGATGCACCAATATGACATCTCTAATAAAATGTAACTTTGAGGAAACTCAAGCCTCAGAGTTTTCTTTTATTGGGGATTTTACTTGGAACCCTGACATTGCCATTAAGAGATTTCAGATTTCAGCCTCAGTTCCAAAGCAGCCAATTACCACTAAGCCATCAGCCCTTGCTGCTAGCCAATTTGGTACAGGGGTCCAGAGGAAGGCAGGATAGAGTGTGGATATATGCCCCGCTCACCTTCCCTTATACCAGCTATGGTTTCTGAGAAGTGCAACACAATGATGCTGAACCAGCCACAACTTTGCCAAATTTCAATTGCACCGAAGAATGAACCCCAGATTTTAGATGCATTCTGTAAGTTAACCTAAAATACCTTTGGTTCAAATATTGTTGCCCTATGATGCCCTATCAAATAACCTGACACAAAAGTTTTAATATTGGCAAAAAAAAGCATGTGTGTGTTGGATTGGACTACCTATATTTCATAACTATTGCCTCACATCTCTTGAGAAGCTGCCAGGCCATCAATTACAAAGGAATCTGGAATAATCCGATCATCAGGACATTTTCATTTAGGCTCAAGCATAGGTATGATATGAAAACAGCACTGGTGGCATTCATTGATGACCTGTGGTAGGGCTGGGTAGCCTTTAATACCATCAACCAAAGCATCCTTCTCTCTTCCTATAATACTTGGGGGTTGGAGGCATCGTTCTTTATTTTCAGTAATTCAATGACTCCTTCCTGAGACAGCAATTCCTGTGGAGCAAGGGTGTCAAACTCGATTTCATTGAGGGCCGCATCAGGGTTGTGTTTGACCTCAAGGGGCTGGGGTGGGAGTGGCCACGGTGGGTGATCAGTCGATGTAATTTGGCCCAAGCGCTTTACCAGTGAAAACGGGTTCCCAAGCTCTGTTTTCGGCTACGACGGCCTCCTGCAACCTCTGCCAGTGAAAATGGAGCTTGGCAAGGTCGCCCGCAGCCCTCCCAAGTTCCATTTCACTGGCAGAAGCACCACAGACTGGTCCTTCACTGTTTCTAGGGTGGCCCTGTGGGCCAGATCTAAGCACCAAGCATGCCGGATCCGGCTGCCAGACCTTGAGTTTGACACTCCTGGTGTTGAGGAAAGATTGGACACTCAATTATGGAATGTTTGAACCTCTTCACTATTCTATTTAACATTTACATAAAACCACTGAGGTAGATCATCCAATACTATGGAGTCTGGTATCATCAATATGAATACAGATTGCCATTAATATCTAAGAAAAGTGGTAAAAGTCTTGCCCTTATTCCTGGAAGCTTAATTGAGTAATAAAATTCCACATCACTATCTTAATGAACTTGGGTTTCTCTTTCTTCACAAAAACATTATAATAAACTTGTTCTCCACCATAGAATTAAGAGCCTTTTGCAACAATTCCAGAAGACTACCATTAGATTTTAAAGCTTCATAATCATAATTTTATATCTTCTACATTTTCATATTTTTAGATTCTGTATCTTCTATGCTTTTTTAAATGGTTCTATCTCACCTTCTTTATCCTGGTCTATGACCATAATAAAGATTATACTTGATTAAAAACTGTCAGGCAAAAGACCAGGTCCTCAAGCGAAGGTCCAATTAAGCTGATTTATTGCTAAAAAACCTATGCACAGGAATCTTCTCAAATAACAGCATCTGCTTGGGAGTTAGGTAAGGGTTAACAAAATTCAAAGTGGGTTGGACTTAGTCTGCTTATGGCTACATAGACATTCTTATTTGATCCCTCTTTTAACTCCACCCGTTTTGCCACTCATCCTAAAAAAGCTTTATTTGTAGCAAAGTAAGCATATGACATTCACACTCTCACTCATTTAGATCATGAATATTAAAAATACTTTTCTTATCACTGATCACATGACAAAAGTTGTCATTGAAAAGCTCCCAGGGATTAACTTCTGAGATATACTGAGATATAGAACTTTGATATAGTGGAAGAAAGGTTTTCCAATGTCTCTCACTCTACCTCTTTCTCTTTTATATGCCACATTGAATTACTTCAGTTTGAATGATAAGTCATTTCAACATCAAATCATTTATCAAGTTCTGACAGAAATTCTTCTCTTCAAAATTTTCCTTCCATGAGCTTTCTATGATCAGAGGGATTACAAGAATCTTATCAGATAAGTAGTCTTCAAAATTCTTTAACCCTTGGAACATTTCTTGCCTTGGAACATCTTACCATTAACTCATCCTATAAATTATTGCCTTTAGGATTGTGATTGATGAGTAAGAACCAATGATTCACAAACCTTCCAATGTGGTCCGATGACTTTCTCTACTATTTTCATCCTCATAAGAACTTTATTACATTGATCAGCAGAGAAATAGGGGCTGGTCCAAAGTCACCAACTTCATCATCACATGAGGATTTGAACATGGGTCATTCCCAGACTACATTCAATAATCTCTGACCACAGTGCACTCGCACAGTACTGGTTCTATATGAGAGCCAGACATCTCATCAGAGATTATAGTACACTTAAATGCTGTCTCTAGAAATCAATATATACACTAACTGGTCTTTTTATTTCTGCCAAAACAAAACGGTTGACAGTTAATAATTGTGAATTGCTATTCCAACTGCACACTTTTTCCTATGACAAATTATGCTGCACTGTATGATCTTCTAGTGAAAATAGATGCCACTTTTTTTTCTCTTTTGCTTCCCCACTACTTGGAACAGCATTTCCCCTGAGATTAGATTGGTCACAACCCTGTCAAAGTTTTGGAAAGCCCTCCAGATTTGGACTTTTCAGAGAGTCTTTGAGGCAGGGGTGGGTTCTACTTACCTTTACTACTGGTTTACAGCAGGGCCACGCGCATGCGTGAGCAAAGCAAGCACACATGCACACTCTTCTGCACAGAAGTGTTTTGATGATGTCAGGGACGGTGGGCGAAGCCTCCCGCCAGTTTTACTACCAGTTCTATAGAACCAGTGCGAACCAGGGGCAACCCACCACTGCTTTGAGGTGACATACGTTTGAATCTTCCTATATTGAGATATTGTTTCAGATTATTGTCTGGGTAGCTATCTGATGTGATATTATACAATTTTATTATTTTCGTTTCTTAATTTTTGTTACTGCGTATAGAAGTGTAAGCCATTCAAAATTATATGTGATTGGAATGGCATATAAACCTCAATAAATAGAATAGCAACAGCACTAGCAATAGCATTTTGACTTATATACCATCCCGTAGCTCTTTACAGCACTCTCTGGATGATTTACAACCAGGGGTGAAATGCTACCTGATTGGATCGGATCGGCCGATCCAGTAGCAATGATGGCCAGTAATTCGGAGAACTGGTAGCAATGGCAGCTGGAGGCTCCGCCCACCTGCCCACCCATCCCATTCCGCACCTTGCAGCGGAGCCACTGCCTGCTCGCCCTTCACCATGCGGTGTATCCTACTGCTTACCTTTCTCCCGTGGCTGGCTGTCAGGGAAGGCAAGTGCCCGAAAATTACAGGAGTCGCTCACTCTCCTTCTTGAATGAGCCACCACCATGGCCGCTCTGGTCCATGCACCGGCTGGGCAAGCGCACACTGTTTCTTTAATTCACTCATCAGCGGCAGGTTGGGTGTGCGCTTGGACAGCCGGTGCATGGACCAGGATGGCGATGGTAGTGACTCATTCAAGAAGGAGAGTGAGCGACTCCAGTAACTTTCAGGCGCTTGCCTTCCCTGACAGCCAGCCACGGGAGAAAGGTAAGGACATGCCGCTTGGTGATGAGAGAGCAGGCAGCGGCTCCGGGACAAGGCTGGTATCAGGGAATGGTGCATTCCCCAACCTGGTTGAGGCAGGCGGCGAGCAGGTGGTGGCTCCAGGGCCTCAGGAAATGGTGCATCCCTGGGCCCTGGGCCCTGACCCAAAGCGAAGAGAGAGTGGGTGGCGAGTGGGTGGCAGAATAGAAATTTTAAAAGTTTTCCTACCGGAAAACGGTGCGTGGCTTGGTGGGAGGGGTCTTGTGACTGAGTGGGTGTGGCTGTGAGTGACATTGAGTTGGCCATGCCCACTCAGTCACAGAACACCCCCCCGCCAAGCCACACCCACAGAACCGGTAAGGAAAAATTTTAGATTTCACCCCTGTTTACAACGTAGAAGTTAATATGTACAATGTTGCATATTGCCCCCAATAGCCTGAGTCTTCATTTTACTAACCTCGGAATGGTGGAAGGCTGAGTCAAATTTGAGCCCCGCCAAGATCGAACTCCACGCTGTGGCAAGAGTTTGGTCTGCAATGCTGCATTTTAACCACTGTGCCACCAGAAAAAAGAAGACAAGGTCAAGGTCCATCAGGGGTGCTCTGGGCTGTTTCTCCGATGTCATCTTTGAGGGTTTAAGAATGATACATAGTGTGGGTGGATGATAATGTAATGTGAGAATGTAAATGGATAGAGTTTGGTGAGAGTGGGTTGCCAGATTAACATAACTCCCTGACCATAATGAGGTGTGGTTGCACTATATGAACAACTGATATCCATGTCAGAAGAGTTAAGAACCACCCAATTTTAAGTGGAGCACTCCACAATCTTAGCAATGCTATTTTGCGTATCATAAAGTCCTCACTTTCCATTTACACTTTGTCTGAGTGTCTTCTAAATCTTCTAAATATAATGTGGTAGTTGGATTTTAAATCCAGATTGTTCCAGGGATTTATGGGTTCTACTGACACCTTGCCCTGCAAAGTTGGAACTGAAACTAATATAAATGTATTCCTAATCTCAGTGAAATTTTCCTTTGGGTTCTGATGAATGTTGCTGTTACATTTAACTTGATATTGCTTTTATAGGCTGATCAAAAGTCCTTTCCAAGTCCATCTTTTCTAACTCAAATGAATTGCAACTAAGAAATTCAGGTGTCTGATCAAGTTTATATGTTATCTGAACTCCTTAGAGTTGCCCTTCAGCCAAAAAAGATGCCTAGGAAATGTACACATTGTAAAAGAAACGAAGACAGTACCCAACTGAAATAGTGTGTTCCAGTGGTGGGATTCAGCCAGTTCTCACCACTTTGGGAGAACCGGTTGTAAACTTTCTGAGCAGTGTGGCAAACTGGTTGTTGGAAGAAATCATTAGGGCAGAGAACTGGTTGTTAAATTACTTGAATCCCACCACTGGTGTGTTCTAAATGGCATAACAGAACAAGAAGAGGTACTGTAGGGAGGGAAATAAAAAAGAAACAGAAATGTTATTGTAGTCAGGACAGAAACTTACTAAAACAAAAGCAACTATATTAGTCTCTGATGGATTTTATACTATTTAAACTTAGACAAAATTTTCTGAGGCTCTCTACTGTCACATTATTCTGATTTGGCTACCATTATTATTAACAATAAAGCATTTTAAATTTATTTTCAGCTTTGCAAACATCAAGATCGCTTAGCTGATTTCTCTTCTACTGTCTATTTAACAGCTGCTCGATGAGTCCCGACTAAGGACTCATAATAGAAGGATGAACAATTATTTGCTTGTTTCTTATTTTGAACGAGGCTTGGTGCAAAGTAATATAAACTAGGTACCTAATAGGGTGTAGTTAGTATATTTACAGATTATATCCAACACATTTTTAAACTGTAGGATTTTCATAATAGCCACATGGTAACCCAAATACATATACACACTCTATCTTTGTGTGTGTGTGTGTGTGTGTGTGTGTGTGTGTGTTGTGTGTGTGCGTGTTTGGGATGGTTGCATTTTATCTGAAGAAAAACTTATATAACAAATATTTCATCAATTTGAGTTGACCTAATCAGTGATCATGTGTTCACTGAAACTGAATTCCCAAGAAAAATCTGCAGTCAAGCATTTTTACAGAAAGTAGTAATCTTCTAACTACTCTGCACCACATAATAAATCTTCTCTCCTTAAAATTGCCAGATCTAATCCCCAAGATTGGGACAATTGGTTCTCTAAAGTTTCTCACTGAGCTTGCTGTTTTCCACTTTTTCTCTAAAAGATTCTGAGAACCAGAATTTCTTGGGACACGGATATGACATCAAAAACTGACAGTCAACCGGGTGACAAGTACAGGATAAAAAGTATGTTAAATCATTAGAAGAGATGGAGGCAGAAGCATCAGCATTAAACAATGGTGGGTATAAAAAGGGGATTGCATCTTTGTGCTGACAGAAAATAATCAACCGCTTTACTAACTTCTTTCTGGTATGCAATAAAGCCAAGCTTCTTTTATGTCTTAAAGCCCTGAGCTGAGTATAAGCCTAGAGCCTAGTCAAGCTGTATTGGAAATCATACCAAGGTCCTGTCAGTGAACTTGATAACTACAATATAGGGCTAAAGTCTACCACAATCATTTTCTAGTCAAAAAATACTGGCTGAGACTTTCAGACTATCATTGGTATCACATAAGCGAATTGCCCATACAGAATTACTAAACGATGGCTTCTATATCTTGCGTCAGTAGATACCATTATCTTAATGAAAATAGATTTTGGAGGCAATCAATTATGCCTCCTTTTAAAATGTTAACTCACCAACCATCTCTCTATTTTCACATTGTTTGACCAGCTCTTATGATAAAAATTAGAACCCCGTAAAAAATATCCTTTGTTGATAGCTCCTTTTGAAGCCGACAGAAAAGGCAATGTATTTCAAATGCCAAGGGCAGCAAAGTTGATAGAATTCTTCCTGCTTTCTCAAGTTAGTGGGTGCCATTTTTATTTTACAACAATATCCAACATGATGTTATGTAGTTATACATTAGTAATCTTTTTAAGCCATCAAAAAAAAATGACAGCAGCCATTTTTGTATTGATATTCCTAGAAATTTGTCTATGCATTGTTTAAAAGAGGCTAAGCAGTTTCATGCCCTTGTTGTTACAGAATGAGGAAAACCAGCATCTGCTGAACTCCATTCCTTGCAGCAATATGTAAAGTGAAAAATACTTGCCTATTTTGAATCATCCTAGGTTACAATAATACACTCTAGTAAAGGCAACATTTAAACAATGATGGATTCCCACTCTTTGATCCGTCACCATCCTTCCGTTCTGCTAAAAGTGGTGAGATTATCTAAGGTTGTCTAATCAAAATTAAGGAGAAAAAATCTTATGTGAAATTTAAGTAACATTTATTATTTCTGATACTAATAGTCCAAAAGAGAATCAGATGTGACAATAGGGATAAATCTCAATAGTTTAGGGTCTTTTGAGAAAAAAGACCAAGGCTGAATTTTGAACCAAGGTTAGAGTTTGTTATCCAGTCCAACAAGATACCTGGCTATTAAAATTAGTCTGATAACTAAACATTCAAAAACCAGAATAGTACAGCTAGGATTCCCTCTCCCATATTCCTGTTCACTAGTACAATTACAGCAAGTTTAATTCTAATGCCATTGGCCTAAAATTTAACTATAAAACCATTTGATTAAAACATTATTTAAATACTTTAGAGTAATAGAAGGGCAGATTTTAATCACCTGGTCACAGCCTCCATTTGATATAATTTCTCCCACATCTAGATATATGTCAGTGGAAATGTCAGATTGTGAACTAACCATTGTAGACATGAAAAAATAGAATAAAATTAAGTATTCTGGCATATCATTAAAACATTGATTTTTAATTTAGTACAGAAACTTGAAATGGCTTGTCATGGTTGCATTGGGGAATCCATCATTGTTTAAATGTTGCCTTTACTAGAGTGTATTAGTGCAAAATAGGATGATCCAAACTAGACAAATATTTGGTACTTTACTGTACGTATTTGTGCAATGAATTGACTTTAGCAGATGCTGTTTTTTCCTCATTCGATAATGACAAATAATAATTTATCTAATCCCCCTTTTTTTCAACTATCAAATATCCAAGAGATTGTGTTCTCTTTTGCATCTGTCCTGCTTATATTTTTTTTCTTTTGAAAATTTAGAGGCCCCAGATATTGTACAAGAAAGTAAAGAAAATCATCATTTATTTAATGTTCCTGTGAAATTCCCCACTCAACTGGCATCATTAACAAAGGTCAAAATGGTTGCCCTTCTAAGATTTCCCTGCACTATTTTAATAGTTTAAAATTTGAAATTAATCATATAATTCCTTGTGAAATGTTGGCAGGATATCATTTACTTAATTATTCACACTTAACTATAAGGTAATATAATGTTGGGAACAGTCATCGTGTTCAAAACATGGTGTCATCAGAGAGCTTTGGTTATTTTAGTACACTTGAATCAAGAGAGCTGAAGCAAATCTTGGGTCAATTTCTGGAACAGTGGGAGAGTGGGTGAAAACAAGCAAGTCTGAATCTTGGTAAAATAAAGCTCCTATACATTGGTAGATCCAAGGTCTGAGAATAAGAACTTCCTTCCTCTCAGAAGGCACAAATCCATAAAAGTGTCCTTCAATTTAGTACCTATCAAACTCTTTAACCATCTGACTCTTTTTTAAAAAAATGATTATTTAATGGGATCTAGCAGGCTGCTAAATAGGACACTAGCCTTTAGCATCCTCTTTGTTTATAAAATGCTTCTGAAGCTTGGGCATTCTTGGAAGATTGAAATGGAGAATGACTGCAGGCTAGGACATTGTTTGTAAAACAAACATAGGTAAACTGGGATAATAAAAATAAAGCACTCTGGAGTCTGGTGGGAGATAACCTCATTTGTTTTCTCTCAATAGGTGTCTAGTTTACATCAGCCCTTTTCATCCATGTCCTCTTCTCATTATTCCAAAGCACAGAACAAGTACAGGTAATCCTTGATTTACAACAGTTCATTTAGTGACCATTCATTATTAGAACAGCACTGAAAAAAGTTACCGTTTTTCACATTAGAACTGCTGTGGCATCTCCATGGTCACACATGATCAAAATTAGATGCTTGGCAACTGACTCATATTTATGGCAGTGGCTGAATCCCGGGGCCATGCGATCATCATTTGCAACCTTCTGACAAACAAAGTCAGTGGGGAAGCCAGATTCATTTAACAATCATGTTACTAATTTAACAACTACAGTGATTCGCTTAACACCGGTGTCAAGAAAGGTTGGAAAATGGGACAAAATTCACTTAACAACTGTCTCGCTTAGCATCAGAAATTTTGGACTCACTGAGCTGGCTGAAGATTGAATTTATCAAAGTTCCTATTCTTTGGCTTCATCCTGAGGAAATCCCTCCACATCACCTTGAATGAGGGTATAATCCCCTCCCGTTGTTTCTTTGGGAAATGACCTCCCATTCAGGTCTATAATGAAAACACTTCTATTCACCTTGGCATTTGAATTCCATGATGTGTTTTGCTT